CTTTTGCGAGCAACTTTTTCGAACTTCTGCAACAACGGTTGCGCACCTGCCAGGGCCATCATCCCTGTCAAATAATACCATGCGGGACACATTCGTTTTTTCTTCGCGCGCGCACGCCGTCGTCGTCGGCCGCGGGGCCCTGAATAGTAGCCACGGTCGTCCGCATGCCACGAAGTGAAGTGTCCGAACGTCATAGGGCGGGAAGCTGGGTGTGGGTGGTGGCGAAGAGTCGTTTGGAAATTTGGTAGAGCTTGAACCGGCCCCCCCACAAAGTGGGGGTATTGCCCGCCTCCTATGAAAACCCTGGCACTGGTGAGAACGGAGTGTCCCCACGTGCTAGTAATTGTTGTTGTTGTTGTTGTTGTTGTTGTTGTTGTTGTTGTTGTTGTTGTTGTTGTTGTTATAGTTGTTGTTGTTGTTGAATTCGTTTCTGAAGCATAATTATTGCTGATCCCCCCCACCGGTGCATACTGTTTGTTCACAATCAAAGTGTGCCCCTCGACGCTCGCACCCGGTTTTTTTTGACAGGGGAAGTCTTCCTGCTCAAACTGGCCCGGAGATTTCCTTACAATTTAGCCAGGACCCCCGCTCCCGCCCGAGACTTCCTCGCATTTGATTCAGGAATCGCGCTCTCGCTTGGGACTTCCTTACAATGTGTTCAGGAATCGCTCTCCCGGAGCTCTGGAGTCGCGCTCTCGCGGGAGACTTGCTTGCAATTTATTGCAGAATAGCCTTGCGTTGGAATTTCTTGCAATTTGCCCAAGCGCCGCGCCCCCGACACCCAGGCACCCAGGAGTCGCGCCCGTTGTGGCACCATGTGCATGCCCTTCGTGGCCCCGCTGTCGCAATGTGTGTCCCCCTCATTGTCCTACATGGCCCAGTTGCTACCTTCATTGGCCCCATAGTTGCCTTTTGTGGCCCCGCATTATCTGCACTTCGTGGCTCCCGCTCGTTCGCACTCTTCGTGGCCCCATACGCATTCCCTTCGTGTCCCCGCTGTCGCCCTTCGTGGCCTACTTCGTGCCTTTCGTGGCCCTTGCTGTCGTTCTCTCTCGCTCTCGCTTTCGCTCGTCGTCGCCGTCGTCGCCGTCGTCTTCGGCGTCGTTGTCGTCGTCGTCGTCGTGGCTGCTCCCCTGTCCGTCCCTCTGACTCTTGGGGTCGGGTCGGCGGTCCGCGGCCGCCCCGCCGATCAGCGCGGCCGCTGGCCAGGCCGACGGTCCGCGGCCGCCCCGCCGCTTGCCGGGGCCCGGCCTGCAGGGAAGAAAGTCTACCCCCCAACAGGGGTCCGATCGAAGACGCAGAGGGCGGGTATCGAGGGTTTGGGAAATACGCGTTATTGGACAGTCGAGTATATAAGGGCGAACAGTCTTAAAATGATTGTTGTTGTTGTTGTTGGTGGTTGTCGTCGTCTCATCCGCGACCCACCCGCGACCCACCCCGCGACCCACCATGCGACCCGCCCCGCGACCCACCCCGCGACCCACTTCGCGACCCAACCCCGTGACCCAACCGCGACCCACCCAGCGACCCACCCGCGACCCACCCGCGACCCACCCGCGACCCACCCGCGACCCACCCCGCGACCCACCCGCGACCCACCCCGCGACCCAAACTTGACCCATGCGCGACCCAAACTCGAGCCACCCCGCGACCCACCCTCAAGGGAGGCGGACCCGACAATTGACGTTTACTAAGCGGCCATGGGCGTTTACTAAACAGCCCAGCCCTGTTCGATTCATTCCTTGCGTTCGTTTACTAAGCGGCTTCGCTTGCCAGGGTGATTTTTATGGGGTGGATTTTATGCCCTCTACATCTGCGACCTACTCGCGACCCAGCAGTGACCCACCCGCGACCCACCCGCGACCCATTTGCGACCCACCCGCGACCCACCCGCGGCCTACCCACATCGGTTTTACGAATATATCGGCGCCTGCGGCGAGCTCGTTGTATAATTAATGAAGTTTTGGCGTCTGCGGCGGCCTTCTCCAGAGTCTCGCAAACTGCCGACGTCCCCACCGCCCCTTCACTCTTATCCGCATCTGCGGGGCGCCTCGTATATTTTGTTTTGCTGGTTCTGGCCCTTGTTCCAATCACGTAGTCGTTTTTGTTGTCATTTTCTGTCGCTGGTGTTTTGTCTTTCCAGTTTCAGGAGACATTTGTTCGGAAACGCTGAAACAACGGCCCTGCCGTAGATCTTGAGACATCGCCAGCTCTCTTGAGCCATGTTGGCCACCGCAGGCCCTCCTGGAGTCACCCTGGGCGGGAAAAGGACCGTCCGACACTTCGCGGAGCCCCCCGCACAAAACCCCCCGGATAGAGGGGAGGGGGAGGGCACCCCTCCCCGAAGGAAAAGGAGGAGGAGGAGGAGGAAAGAGGAGGGGAAGGAGGAGGAGGAGGAGGAGGAGGAGGAGGAAAAGGAGGAGGAGGAGGAGGAGGAGGAGGAGGAAGGGGGGGGTGAAGAGGAGCCGTACACATCAGATCGCCTACGCCTCGAGGGCCGGCGGAAGTCTTGAGCCATACTGCGCCGATCCGAAAGTTCCCCCCATTTCGCCACCGTGCCGGCCGCGGCCATCTGGGGTGGCGCGCGCGGGACAAGACTCGCGAGCCCCGAGGGCGAATGGTGGCGATGTCGCGAGGGCAAAGTCGGCGCGCCGATGGGCAGCCCAGCGCCCAGTTTGGCCGGAGGGGCCCAGTACAATGCAAGGGCGGAGCCTAACACCTGCCCTGGGTCGCGGGATCGGGTTCCCCTTCCCAGTTCAAAAGTTCAAATCCCAAACGGTGTACGGATCCGAAAATTAGCAAGCTTTCGGGTTCGGTCATGCGCCGACCCGGAAAGTTTATCGGCCGACCTGAAACTGGCCAAGTCCCACAGGACTTGCGCCCAAGAAAAATTCGGGTCCGGTTCGAACGGCCCGAAAATGTGCAAACCGCCTAGGACGACTTACCAAAACATTGTTCTCGAGGTCTTCGGGCCCGCTCCGAAGAAACCGAGCATGGGCAAACCGCCTAGAACTTCGTATCAAAAACGGTTTCTCGGTGGTTCCGGGCCTCGTCCTAAGGAGCCGCCGAGGGGAAGACCGTTCAGGACTTCCTGCGCAAGAAACAGTGTCCTGGGTGAGCCATAGTCAACGGGAGCGCGCCCCGCGCGGGATCGGGGTTCGCGCGGGGGCGCGGCTGCTCTCGCGTGTCCAGGGGGCATGCACTGTCGCGCCCTTCAAGCATTGCGTTTGCGCTGCATTCGCGCGGTGCCGTGCCTGTCAAACCAGAACAAACGTTCGGAGCGCCGATGTAGGGCCTGGCATTGCTGTTGTGCATAGCACCCATACTCTCCGTCCCTACTCTGGGCGGGGAAATCTCAGAGATGCTCAGCATTGTTCAGGCGATTGCCAACATGGATCAAGGGGGCGTGCATTAGCGATGGATCCCGCTTCCATGGCACATCGCGGAGTTTCGCCGCCGAGCGAGGCAGCACCAGCCGCATTTTGGGGAGGGCACCTCCCCCGATCCATGGATTTGGCGACCACGCGCCAAATCCATGGATCGCTAATCCATGTTTGCGCGCCCGGGAATTGTCTCTGCCCCGAGGTCTATGTGCCTCCTGTCCTCCAGGCACCCGATGTCGCGATTCGTTTTGCAACGAGTTCTTCCCTCAGAGGTCCAGGCTCCTTCCCACGGAGCGGCTTCTCATCCGGAGGCTTTTCTTGACGGCGCCAGGGCCCGGTGGAGGGGCGTTGAGAGGCCGACAGCGGAAAAACACTGTTTCCGTCGTGTTTTTGTTCCACGACGCGGGGATGCCAGGGTTTCTCTGGAACGATGCATTTTCACCCCAACTCTGAGAGGGGGCCCTCAGGGCAGCGCCGGAGGCTCTGGGAGGATACAACGCGACGTCCTGATGTGTTCAATACGGGCCCCCTGGAAGTCTGGACTCTTTCCCCGGGACCGGTTTTCATTTTGAGTCGTGGTTTGACGGTCCCGAGGCCCTGCGCGGGCTTCCAGGGGCCGAAATTGGCCAAACATCTCCCGTCCTGATTTTTGAACGACGCGATCATGTCTGGGACGCACACCACTGTGGAACAGACAGATGGAGAGGGCTTTCGCCCAGGCGGGGTTGGGAAGAGGAGGAGGAGGCGGAGGCGGAGGAGGAGGAGGAGGAGGAGGAGGAGGAGGAGGAGGAGGAGGAGGACTTTTCCAGCTCTCCCGAACAGATCAGATCGCCCAGGGGGGAGGGGGGAGCACACGCCGGCCTGGGCCCTGGCCCCCGAGTTTCTCAGCGCGGGCGTTTTTCCTCCTCGCCAGCGTTTCGGGGGCGGCAAAGAGGGGGGTGATGACTAGGGAGGGGTGGATATCATGGCGCCTCCTCTTATTTCATTACGTCCCCGCGCCCCCCACCTCCTGGGCCGCGCACATGCCGCCGGCCATGATTTGCCCCCCCCCCCCCCCCCCCCCCCCCCCCCCCCCCTCTTGGCCGCCCCTGAAGAGTTGTTATGAATGCCGGCGCGCTCGAACCACGTTCTATTTCTAATGTCCCGCCATCAAAACGGGAATGATGACCACGTCTTCGAGCAGCGCTTATGCTTGCAGCCAGGGTGCGAGAGCCTCGGTCTTCGGCTTAGAGCTCTAGCTGCCAGCGGCCCTTCGGGACGGCTCGGACACCGCGGAACGTCCTCGGCGAGACGCAGTGGCTGGAAGGCATCCCGAGGCTGTAAAGCGAAGTCGGCAGAAACTCACGAAAAAGGTCGGAAGTCTTGAATGTCGAACGATCGAAATCAAGGGAGGAAAAAACACCCTGACCCAACAATTGGCGTTTCCTCAACATTCCTGGGCGTTTACTAAGCAGCCCTGCCCTGTTCGATTTCTTTTTTTGGGCGCGTTTCCAAAACGACTGCGCGTGTCGGGGTGGTTCTTATGGAGGTGGATTTTTTGATTTCTACGAGAGCCTCAAACTTCGAATGGCAAGATCTCGCGCCCCCCCCCCCCCCAAAGACAAAAAAACGCGCCAGGTTTGGCAGTGCGGGGCTGCTGCCGGGGATGACGCAGCGGCCGCGGGGCGCTGGCGAGCTCTGAGCGGCACGCCTGCGCCGAGCACCCGTCGCCGCAGCGAGGGCGCGGGTCGGTGCCGTCGTCGACGTCGGACAGGGGGGGCAGACTCAGACATCCAACCCCAGACATGATCGCGCCGTAGCAAGAATCGGGACAGGAGGATTTTGGCCAATTTCGGCCTCGGGGGGCCCTGGCCGGGCCTCGGGACCGTCAAACGACGGCTCAGGATGAAAAACCGGTGCCCGGGAAAGGGTCGGGACTTCCAGGGGTTCCGTATTGATAGAATCAAGACGTCGCATGCCTGGGACGATATGTTTTTTGAATCGCGGCGGTTTTCCCGTCATACTGGCGTCTGGTATCCGTTGTGGGGCCCCCCCCCGACAATCAGAAAAATCTGTCTTTGACGGGAGTCTACTCGCTGGGAAGGGGTCGGGGCCTCTGGGGCGACGCATTGGAAACATCAAATCGTCACATGTTTGGGCTCACGTCACAAAAAAACCCGACGGATGATTCTTGTAGTTACGGGCGTCTGGAGGGGGCCCTTGCCTGGCCCCTTGGCTGTCACAGAACAATCAAGGAAAAGCCAGTCCTAGGGAAGGGTTCCAGACCTCTAGGACGCCACGTTGTTAACGAATCACGGCGTCGGTTCTCGGAAGGGGAAGAGAGGGGGTCAGGAGCGAGGAGGCGAAGGAGAAAGATGGAGAGGTGGATGAGGAGGAAGAGCAGGAAGGGGAAGGAGGAAGAGTGGCAGTGTGAAGGAGAGTGGGAAGAACGGAAAATGGGTGGAGGGGTAGGAGGATTGAAGATAAGAGCAAGGAGCGGGGAGGGTGACCAGGGAAAAGGGAAAACCCAGGATGCATCAGCAATGCTGCAATACAGGCTCTCACATTACAAGACGTCCTCTTCAGTTGTGGAAGCACCCCCTTCCATGTAAATTGGCGAGAGCCAGCGTTTTGAACAAGAATTGCCCTGCATCCACCGATGTAGTCAGAAGGAATGCGAAGACGCCAGATCAGAACAGCTCAAGGGAGTGACCAGGGGGAGGATCGTTTTGAAATGCAGCAGCCCTCAACCCGTGCTATCGCTGCAGAGGTTATGTTTGTTTGGAAGACGCATGTAGCGAGAGCATCGTTTTAGAAAAGATGCGGCCATCAGTCTACTGCAGTTGTTGTTGCATTGGTTTCCTTATTGGCATGTGTGGTTACAGTAGTTCAAGCGAGGAACCGTTCTCCATATTGGCGACCGTCGGATGTTTTCAGGACTAATGTGCGCCGCGCGAACGCGAGAGCCACACTATGAATGCACATTGCGCTCCATCCCTGTGATTGGAGGAGGCCTTCAAGACGTACGCCCGCATCCTTCAGGAGCCACATCTTGGAAGTCAGTTGCCCTCCATCCTTGTAGATGTTGGAAGTTTGTTAGACGAATGTGCGTGGGTCGAAGACGGGGACTACATTTTGAATGCGGATCGCCTTCTATCCTTCGGATGTGCGCAGCGCCCGTGCGAGAGCCGCATCTGGGAACAACCGGCCCTTGTGGAAATCTTTGCTGCAGGATCATGAGTCAGGGGCAACGATAGTAGGCATGGGGGACGCATCGACCCGCAATAGCACATTCATCACCGATAGGGCTCTGATAGCCCCACCCTGCCCAGGAACGTTGGGATCTGCCATCTTAGGCCGATCCCATGTCGATGTCCCCCCCCCATATAGTCAACCCGCATGGCCAGGATGGGCAACCTTCCAAAGGGTACACTTGCATCCTGGTCTCTGCGGTCAATCCTTCGCCGCTTTCGTCGGCCGCGACCCGCTCGAAAAGCTTCGAGATAAGCGTCCGAGGCCCTTGCATCCTTATCGCGCATCCTTACCATACGGGTCGACTGTATGCCAGTCCCTCCCTATCGCTGCCCCTCGTGAGCGTTTTGTGTGGAGGTCTCGGGCGAGACGCTCGGCCAGCCCCTCCCGACCCGCCGGTTTCTGGGCGGCGGATAAGGAGGAGGATGAGGAGGAATGGCGTAGGAGGAGGAGGAGGAAGAGGAGGAGAATGTTGAGGAGGAGGAGGTGGAGGTGGAGGAGGAGGAGTTGTCCTTGCGGAGGAGGGAGGAAGCACGCCCTTGGGCTGCTCGGGTGCCCTCCCCAGAGATCCGATGTCTCTATATGTTCTGCAGTACTCGGCCACGCGCAGAGTGGGGCAGGGGGCAGGTTTCTTAGAAGGAGGCTGCCTCCCCAGGGATGATCCATGTCTCGATGTTCATACAAGATTCGGCCACGCGCAGAGGGGGTAAAGGGGAAGGCCTCGTAGAAGGAGGCTATTTCTGAGAAGGCGCGGGCCTTCTCAGAAGCGGCCTCCCTCTCAAGAAGTCTTGCCCCTCCCCCTACCCCCTTGTGCGCGCCGCGTCGGCTTCTTGTCCTAGTTGTTCCTTGACCGTCCCGCGGCCCTGCGAGGGCCTGCAGAGGCCGCGAGTGGCAACAAGC